TGGACCTCCGGGCTCCGGGAGACGGCAGAGGAATGTTACCCGTGGTCCGGCGGGGAAGCCTCTCCGCGCCACTCTCTCCCGCTCCCGCGCCCCTCCAGCTCCACGCGACCGGACTCTGTTCGAGAATCGTATTTACATTTTAACTTCTGTTTAAAACTGACGCATTTTTTGCGGGCTGCCTCGGTGAGAATGGGGTAAATTTCGCGAAAACACCCCTTCATCGGAATTCAATGCGAGTTCAAATCTCGGCGTGTACTTTTGCGAGCGAGAGGAAGTGTGTAGCGGTGGTGTGACCCCACTGTGGTCGCGCCGTCGATCCAAACGTTTTCAAATATTTGCGCGCTCGCAAAAAAGTTTCGCGTTGCGCGAGAATGTTGCACGTGATGACGTGTCCTGCGGGCGCCCGACACCTTGGCCGGTGTGAGAGTTGAGCCTGCCTCGCTCCCATTGGCATGTCATGAGTATGAGTGCGAGGGAGAAGGGGAGAGGGGGATGGGTGGCGCGGCCGGCAGATAGGAGAGCGAGGGCGGGAGCGAGGAGAGGCGCAAGGAGATGCGCATCTCATTTTTACTCTCCGCTCCCCCTGTTTATTCTCCCAATTCGGCGCTCGATTCGGACTCACTAATTGGTGAGGGGCGCGCGCTAACTTTCCATGAGGCCGCGCGGGTCGTTCGCGGTGCTCTGCAGAGGCTTCAAGGGGGAGAGGAAAAAAATTAGAAAAGAAAATAGAAAAAAGGTCAGAGACGCGCGCGCTAAGGAAGGCGCAGTCCAGCCTGGACCAGCCAGCGGCCACTCACTTCCTGCCCTTCACTCGCGCGGCTGCGGGGAGGAGGTCCTGATTACATGAACAGTTCAGGGAGCAGCTGCGGCGCAGCGGGCCACACCGTGTTGGCCGTGAACCTCGTGGGTTGGTCGTCATGGTGACCCTCGCGAGTCATGAAGGCGAATGGCACTGTACGTGCGTGTCGCAGGCGCGCCCGCACGAGGCCCGCGGGCGACGAGATCCAAATCTTCACCCGGAACTCTATCGTCAGAGACATTTTTATGTCTTTCGTCTTCTATGCGCTTTGCCGTCCCATCGTGCGTGCATGTCACCGCCACACCGCCCCAGCAGCGGTGACATGCCGAGAGTTGGGCGCGGCGGTACGGTACTGTGGTCCAATGTAACGCTCTCTCGGGGTAACGCGCTAGCGGGAACGTTATGCGCGTCACCTCAACGTTTTGTCCCACCGCACCGCCGCCCCCGCCGTACTGCCGCCGCCCGACTCGCAGGCGCTGAGGGCGGGCCGCCGTCTCCACACGGCCGCACGGCGGGCCGGCCTACCCAGCGCGTCGCAGGCGCTTGCCCGTTTTAAACGTTCATCGTGTGGGAACTCCTTTGACTCGCAACGTCCGGACGGCAGCAAGCTCAGTAAAACGTGATCAACAGTGTGTAACTTGTACTAGTTCGCGGAGAACTAAGGATCAGCCGCCCCCTTTTAGATATATTTTGATCGCTGCAGGGGCGTCATCGCGTCGCTTTTCGGCCGCACTCATGACCCGCTTGGCTGCCTGCCTGTTCGCGCAGCAGCCCGGCCCGGGCCCGGCCCGGAGCGCGAAAAGAAAGTGTGCGTGGACCGCGTTGCGCGCGCCTCTGGGTCTTCTGTGTTGGGGCTCGGCCCGGCCCGGCCCGGCTAGGCTCGCGGGGGGATATCTCCCGCGGGGGCCACAAGAGGGGCCCCGCCAAGGACTGGGGCTGGCTGGCGGGCCGGGCCGTGCGTGACAGCGAGTGCACTCTGTGCACTCCGCCTTGTCCGACAACGGGGCGACTTAGTAGTAGTGGTGGTGGTGGAGTTCCACGAGTGAAAGCAAAGTGTGAGTGCGCGGGGCGTGCGTGGCCACGGCCCGTGGAGAGCAGCAACAACATCCCCCGCCCTCGCACTTCGTTTTCGGCGATAATCTAGAAAAGCGAGTGCGACACGTCGTCGCCGCCCCGGCGTCCCCCTTGTCGCGCCGTGCGCAGTCACTGCGTCCAATTGGAGCCCCTCGGTGACAGCGGCAGGGGCGGGACAAGGCCCCCCGGCCCGGGAGGGGGAGGGGGGGGGGGCGTCGCGCAGCAGCCCCTCGTGAAGGTGACGGTCGTGGCATGGCAGTAGTCTCTTTACGTCAAACCATTTTGCTATGGATGCCGCTGGAACACCCCCCGTCCCATATCACTTCCGCTAGTGGACTTCGTAACTCTTTTCAAAAGGACAACGGTAACGTCCATTTCCGCCCGAAATAATTCGTCTGTGCCGCACCCGTGGGCGTTTATGTGAGAGAGGAGAACACACACTCACCCGCCGCACCGCGGCCGGACCAAGCCGCGCGCCCGACTCGGCAACGCGGCACCGAACGCCGCGGGGAAAGGGGAAAGGGGGGCTGCTCATCGAGCAGAACGGGGAGAGGAAGAGGAAGGGGGAGGGGGGGGGGCAGGATCGAGGTTCGAGCCTGGCGCAGGCAGCCCAGCACCCAGCACAACCCAGCCAGGCGTGGCAGCCGTGCTGCCGCTGCCATACTGCCCTCTGCTTGGGGTCCCCTAACCCGAAGCTACATGAGGTGGACGGGGTCTCTCAGGGCCAGGACGCCGATGACCAGGACCGCGCTGGAGTGGGTGCCTGTAGACTTCAGGGGGTACGAATACGAAAGCCAGCCCTGCATCGAACACACACGTCGGTGTGATCCCCGATGTCGAGCTATCGGGGTCAAGTTCACCCCCCCCCCCCCTCCTTTCTCCTTCTGATAGCCAGTAGCCCCACAGCGAAGAACGCTGGAGCCGATCCAGCCAAAGGTAGGCAGAAGAAGTGCCTGTGGGTGGGCCTGCTGCTGAGAAAAAAATAAAATAAAGTGGTAAATATTAACTCAATAGTGGTACATCAAAACGATTAGCTCTGAATGGAAGATTGTCTCAATTGATATTTATTTGGCAATACACTTGTACAAATGTGTCAAGTCTACTCAAGTAGATAGTAATAATAATAATAATAATAATAATAATAGTAATAACAACGAAGCGGTGACTTTTCTACATCTTTAGTTTGGGGACTGTATCACAGTCTGCCCTTTGTTTCCAATTTCAGGCAACTGACAAATCAGTATTATAACTTATATTAATAGTCAATAGCATGGTTACGCTAGGTTGCGCTCTCAAACTTTCATTGATTTTTAGAGTAAAAATCAACATTTTGAAGAGTTTGGCTAGTAACATACTAAGAAAAACAAGAACACAGCATTATTCACCCTAAATGACGATAGAGTTGAATTTAAATAGCAGATATACTTAGAAAATAGTTTGAACAGGGCTAAAAATGTAGACGCTTAAGTAGTAATCCTCCTCATTTTAAACTATTGCGTTCTCTAATGATAACCCCACAGGGAATTTACATCCTCTTTCTTGCACTCAAACAGAAACTTTGTCACTTTGTTCTGTTCTGGCTGTTCATCTTCTAACGCTTGATTTTGTTCTGCAGCAAGGTGTTGCTCATCTTTCAAAACTTGATTTTGAGCGCCCTCTCTTGACTCTAGGTTTGGTTGTGCAACAGGGGTTTGCTCATCTAACCACAACTCTCCATATTTATCATTTTTTTCTGGCCATTGCTCTTCTAAATCTTCTTGCCATAAGGTATGCTGATGCGTGAGAATTTCCAGCATTTCCAATTCTTCCATGCGCTTCTGATACGCCCTCAAACTGAACTGTCGAGTCGTCCGTACTTCTGCTAAGCGTAAATCTTCACCCCATAGGTCATGCTGTGCTTGAAGTACTTCCAGCTCTTCCTTGCGTAGTTCTTGTCTGCGCACTTCAGCCTCCATTAACATTTGTTCATATAACTTGTCAAGTTCTGCTTGATTATCTACTAGCTCGCAGTCGGCACTCAGATCTTGGGCGTAATTGTAAAAAGTGTAGTCGATTTCGTCTTCCTTTTCCTCCAGGACGCACCTCCTGAAGTGGACCACGTGGGTGGGCAGAAAGGAGTGGTCTTCGAACTTGACGATGGCGTGCATGCCCTCCTTGCTGTTGGTCGTGGTGTCGTATCGCAGGGGCTCGCGGCCGGCGATGACGGGGGGCTCGTTGCTTTCTATCCAGTCCGCTCCACCCACCTCCATCATGGTGGAGATGAGCACCTTGCACAGGAGCATGCTGCCCGTCTCGCCCCGGTCGCAGTGCATCGAGGCCAACTGAGGGGAGGACGAGAACCTGACGCCCGTACCGTACATCCCGGACACTGCAAACAAGAGCGCGGGCTGTCAGAAATGTAATTGAAAAATAGAGAAGGGAAAAGTTTTGGGAACTTACAGCTAAAGCGTGCAACTTCAATGTTGTTCTCCAGTATTGTGGGAATATTGTCCAACTTATTTCCATGCCACAAGTTATGCACATCTACATCCCCGTACATTTCACTATAGGCTCTCTTTCTTTCTTCAAACTTGTCCTCGAGACCATCATTGGTTACTTTCTCAATAGAGAGAATTTGAAGTTGTCCGTCGTCCATCTGATGAAACACTACAAGAGAAAGGTGTAAGTCTACATAATCAACTGAAACGACAACTTAGTGCAATGTTCCACAAACTTTGCGCAAATGTACTCACATTCAGAAACCTCACGATGTTCTGCGGATTTGGGGGGCAGTACAGTGTCCATGATAATGGAATTCTTGGCTTTCTCTTCTTGCTCCCTGAAAGGTAAAATTATCTTTTTACAAAACACAAATGGGGACTGTGCGCATTTTGGGCACGTAGGATATGGGTGTGGGGAATGAGCCGCTTAAAAGGTGCACAACTCGTGATTCAAAACGCAAACATCCAGGCATGACTCAGTGAACACTATGAACACATTCAAACACTACTCAAAAATGAGGAATCAGTGGTTCTCAATGTGTCCCCTGAAGCCCTTCAGCCACAGCACAGGGAAAGGTACCAGGTGACATTTTTTGGGGGGGGGAGTAAAGATAACGAAATCACCCTGAGCAGTGCA